ACAGCAGCTACAACAACATCAACAACAACAGCTACAACAACACCAACAGCAACGCGGTAACAGTTCAAGCCGTTTAGTATAATTTACTTTAGAAAAGTTAGTTAAAATTTAAAATTTCTTTTTCGCTTTGTATGCGAAATGCGAAATGCAAATTGCAACTGCAAACACAAAAACAATAAAGCAACAGCGCACACTCACACACACACATTGCTTTTCTAGCATTCATTGCGCTTGTGTCAAGTACTTGTTGCCGTTATTCAGCATTTTTCAGAATTGTTTGCATTGAATTTGCTCTTTTTTTTTAGTTCATTTCATCTATCGATTCGCCGCCATTTGCTGTTTGCGTTTAATTACACCTGCAGTTTATCACAATCAGTATCAACTTGCGCCTTGGAAAGTTTTTTTTTTTAGTACAAAGGTTGTTTTTCGTCAAATTAGTTGTGTTTTCGTATTCTCCAGCAAAAAATATCCAGCAACTTGCCGGTAACCAAATTTCGGAGAGTAAGCCAATATTTACTCCCAACGAGTGATATATGCAAGAAAGTACGAAAACGCAAAACCAGCAAAAAAATTGCTAGTTTTATGAACAGCTGATTAATTTTTTTTTTCGTTGCAATTTTCTTAGAAAACTAGTATTTTCCATCTTATTATATATTTAAATGGGTTTATTTTGTCAATTGCAACTCTAAAAGCACCACAAACAATTATTTTGTTAATGTGAATTACATTAAGCATCATTCCATCAGCTGTTTTTCTTACTAGCAAATAGTTGCTGGTAAAAATTCATCCAGTAAAAATCCAGTAAAACTTGCAAGTTCAACTGTCATTTTTGCTCTCACAATTTCCCCTCTTTTGCTAGTTTTTGCGTACGAAAACGACATCCAGTAAAAACCAGTAAAATTAGTACTGGATAGTGCGTACGCGAACAGGGCTATTGAGATTATTTTATAAAAACCGTAAGGATTTATAGCCGTTAACTGCCGACATCATTTCTTCATCGTTAGAAAATCTTTGACCACGGAGCCATTACTTGAAGTTGGGGAACATAAAATAGTTCGAGGGGGCTAAATCTGGCGAATAGGGTGATTGAGGTAGCAATTCAAACATTAATTCGCTAAACACTCAATTGAAACCTCTTCACGACACTGTTTTTGGTCGAGTGTGAGCAAATGCGGCACCCATCTTGGACACAGCTTTCTCGTTTACAAATTTACAGATAATATGCGATGTACCGTACTTTTTGAAATGCCTACTATATCTGCTACCTCGCGCACTTTCAGTCGACGATCATTTATTACCGCTTTGTGGATTTTCTTCACCATTTCTGGAGTCGCCACCTCATTTGGTCGACCACTGCGATGCTCGTCTTGGCAGCTCGTACGGCCTCGTTTAAACTCGGCTTCCCAATATTTTACTGTTGTAAACGAAGGGGCAGACCCGTCCAAAGTAGAATCTATTTCAGCTTTTATATTGGATGGGCTGATGCCTTTCGAATAAAAGTATTGTATCACATAACGATGACAAATTTTCTCCATTTTCACAAATTCACTGAAAACGTTCTCTATTGCCGGCTGCCAATCATATACTAAACAACGTGGCGTCTTCAAACTTGAAACATATGCTTTATATATTGTGTACTTTTTAAAACAGTGATATTTTTCAAACAACTACCGCCATCTCTAGGTTAGGCCGGGTACTTTTGGGACCACCCCCGTACATAGGTCATTGTGTATCGCATTATCCTTATCACCCATTCACTTCGAAGTCCACATTAGAAACGTCAGAACGCGATTAGAAAATTATCCTCTTATCCTTATAGTTCCTCATTGTACCTAAGGCCTAGTGAAAATGTTTAGAGAGTGAAAATGTTGATACAGGTGCCGTTCTGGTGAGGTCCATTCCTTATCTTTTCTGACTAAAATCTGAAAAGTGTCAAAATGCAAGAGCGTAATGCAAAATGCGCTCACTAACAGAGAATAACTGGAAAAAGTATAGGAACGCAAAAAACCAAATTTTTAGTCCAAATAATGGCAAAAACAAAACCAATGTCAAATCAGAATAGAAGTGTATGTACAAAACACATTCACACAAGCACAAGCACAATAAACACTTACTATATCAATTATTTTTGCTTCCTTCCATTTTCTATTCATTTTTTTGTTAGTGAGAGTCACTCTCACTGAGTGTTGCTCTCTCATTTCTGCTGCCATTTTCAAATTAAGACACGCTTTTTGGACTAAATCTGACTACTTCGGACTATTTCTGACTATTTCTGGAGATAATGGACTCAACTTGCATAAAATTAACACCAAAATAAATGCGGTGTAAAAGTGTTATTTTTATCACTTCGCAAATAAATTTGAAAATAATTTTGAAAGCATTTTGTAAGAAAAAGGTAAATACATACATATGTACACTGCCGGAGCAAAGTATTGGCACAGCAAATTTTTCACAATATATGCAACAATTTNGTATGAGGCCTTATGTTGGACAAAAGGGGGAGTATAAGGGACTAAAAATGAAGAAAATTACCTTATGGTTACAGAAGATATGGATTAAATTAACCGACGAAGGCATGCGTGCCAAATGAACTTTTCTCTCAAAGTTTACACTGCTGGCAAATGTAAATAAGGGTTAAAATTTAAAAACTAATTAATACAACTGAATTAAATTCTGTGGCAAATTAACAATAAAATACTTTTTTCGCAAAATCTATAAAGGACCCTTTTATTTCTCAAAAAAATCTGGGTAACAGTTATTCGTCGCCACGCTGTAATTTAGGACTGACATTTATAATATCTTCAGTTCGGACTACTTCTGACTATTTCTGACTAAATTCTGGAGTACAGGAGGAGTTTATGATTTTGACATTAGGGCCATTCCATTGAAAAGAGGAAAGCGAGATTAATTTAAATATGCCCTAATTATCTCTCTATTTCGGTAGTAACCTCTCTTTTAATGACTACATTTTATTAATCTGTTGGAAAATATTAAAAAAAGAAATCGAAAGAAGTTGTAATTTTTGTCTATAGAAATTTTTATTTCATGCATAATTACTTTACACCAGTCACAAGGGGATGTCCCACCATCACAACTTTAAATATTTTTTTAATATTTCTGTGAAGATTGTATAAACTTCATTTTTATTGAAAACGAAAGCGTATAATTCATATTTTCCAACACCAAAACATCTTTCGTAAAATTTAAGTGTTTTGTAACATTCATCTTTGAGTGCACAAGGGTAAAATAGAGTTCTTTTCAGTGTCCCACCAGCCTCATTCATTCAAATGATGGTTAAAAATAATATTAATAAATCGTTTGGTATTTCTGTTATGTTAAAAAATATCTTTCGCTGTTGTATAAGTTCCGACGACATAGCTAAAAAATTCACAATTGATCACATTCTGGACTAAAATGTCCCGCCAGTCACAATGGAATGGCCCATTAAAAAAAATTTAAATTTCGACATTTTTATTTTCGACTTATCGTACGGATCGCTTTTAACCTGTTTCATTGTCTAATTTTCTCTTAATGTTCTATAATAAAGCTTTTTCCCATCGGCCAGCAGAGAAAAATTGCAGGAGCTTTTTAAGATTCAATAAATATTTAGCTTTACAAAAAACTGTAGGTTAAATAGAGAATGAAAGAATTTCTATAATCTCCTACAAATACTCTCATTATAAGATTCATTATATTCTCATCAAAGAAAGCATTTATTATTTATGGAAACACGTTTTTAAGATAAAAATTTATATAATAAATAGCTAATACATATAAAATAAAAAACTTTCACTCCTGTTAGACACTTGGTCACGCTTAACACACACACACTCATTTATACACACCTAAACACGCACGCACACACACACAATGCCGCTCTTGTCCACTAAACTTCACTGCTTCCAATTCACTGATTCACTATGCCCCTTTAACTTTTGCTAGAGTTGCAAATAAAATACATAGTCGATTGTGTTAGACCTGCTTACCTGTGGAGTTATGCTGTGTCAATAACACTTTGGCTGGCTTCGAAAACGTCAATTGAAAAGCATACGCAAAAAGTCGAAATGTTCGCATCAGCAAAATTTATTAGATGGCATCGTATTTTGAAACGCATAGACATAAACGCATTTGATAATTTTCTATTAAATTATATTAAATATGCATTAATTTTATTAACTATGGAACGAAAATGCACTCATGAAAGCACAACGAAGGAAAAGTTTTACAAGTTTCCTATATATTTGAACGATGTTTGTAATAATATTTTCGGCCAAACTTACAAATTTACAAGGGTCAAGAAGCAGAAGCAGAAGCACTTATATGTATATACATATTTCGGGTGCAAAAAAACATATTCGACATACATAGATATGTATTTGAGGTATTGTTAAAAAAATGGCCATACTCCATAACCTCAAATATGGCGAAAAACAGTGCTTTTTGCACTTTTAGGTTATGATAGCTTCAAAACCTACGCCAAGATTCGGATTCGGTGCACCAAAATGAAATGATATTAGTGTTTCTGCTTCAAAAAAATTAAAATTTTGTTAGCCTGTGTAATTATGCTTTTGGGGTACAATATGATCCAGTTCTATTCCCATGAGCCCACAGAAAAAAAAGTTAAATTTTGCAGTAAAAGTATCGATACTTTGCAGTAGTACGTTTTAGAAGTCAGCCTTTCTGAAGCCTAGATTGTTTTGTGTTGCCAAAAGTTCGATGCTTGATTTCGAATTCATGTTGTAATTGCTTTTATTTAGATGTTTCGTTGCAAAAAGTTGTTTGTAAATATTTGGCTGTGCTGTAAAAATTAATAACAACTAAATACATTATTAACATTGAAGCCTAAAAATTCATCAGTGAAATATAACTATTTTATTCTTATTTCCCTCTCATTTCACAAACGGCTGCGCGCTGAATGGTGGTTTCAACAACTAAAACTACAACAACAAACACGTGCGATAAACGCAAATATTTTGTTAATTGCTTACGTAAATGTGCAGTCCACCAGCGGCGGCATTGGTGAGACGACAATGACTTCAATGACGACAATGATGACTGGCCAAGACATCGAAAACTCCAAGCAAGCAGTGCTGACAACACAGCAGCAACTCCAACAGCAGCAGCAGACAATGGCAATAATATCGCCGGCACTTATGCAACACCAACAACCAGCAGTAGCAGTAGTGACGTTAGCATTAACAACAACAACAACAACAACAACAACATCAACCACAACGATTTCAATCAGTTTGCCTGTAAATACAATAATTGCAACAGCTACAACCACAACGCCAGCAACAGTAACACCAACAGCAACAACACTAATAAACACCCTCACAGCGGTAGCAACATCAACGACAGCCAACAAATTGGAAAGTAGCGATAAAATGACAACAAAAACAACACTGAACTCAGAAGAACAGCGCATAACGTAGATGAAGTTTAAAAAAATGAATTAAGAAACAATGAAAATATAAAAATAAACAAGAAAATGAAAGCAAAAGAGAGAAAACATTTACGTAAGACGTGCGTTCTTTCAACATTTATGAAGCAAATACACACCCCTACATGTATACAAACATACATGCATATAAAATATATAGAGGAGCAAAGAAGCGTCAGTGCGAATGGCAACACAAACAAAGATGCAAATATTATTAATTTAATTTATTCATTATGATAATAATAATACAAGAAAATATTGCAAATAACAAAATCAAGCGAAAAGCGAAATGAAGGCAGGCAGGCAGCAAGTAAGCAAAGCGATAGAAAGAAAAGATGCAAGCGGTATGCCGCCCGCTGTGCGTTTGACAGCCTGGGTGGTGCAAGCTGGACGAGTATCGCAAAGGAGGCAGAGGAACTTGGCGGCAGCAATATGCGCTGATTCGTGAGCTCACTTAGTTCATTCAACGTGCTAAAGCGCCTAAAAGCAGATTTCATACAATGCAATGGAACTCACTATGGCGTGCACACAACTAAGTGCTCAGCGTGTGCACGGCTTTTAAGTGCTCACATTGCACTTAGCTGTGGTGTGTAATAAAAGTCGGCGAAGGCTTTGGATGGCTCTGCAGAGACCGGCAACAGCCATGCACTGCATACTAAATATATTTAAATATGGTTTTCAAACGAACTAAATGGAAAAAAAAAATTAATACATACAAGCCCACAAAGAAAAGCACACGCATAAAAGTGCATAATACATGCACATACATACATACATACATGTATGAATGTTTGTTATGCAGCGCAGAGTGGAAGGAAGGAACATGAGAAGAGGCGGTAAAAGAAAGAAGTCTAAGCTAAGTTATAAGTCCAAATTAGTTTACTGATGGATGATAGTGATAAGCATGATGAGCTAAATATGCAAATGAATCACTTATGCATTAAACATTAATATAAAAAAAAAGAATGACACAAAAACTAGAGAGCTGTAGTGCACACACACACATACACGAACAACAACAACAACAACACCACTACAGTAACACATTGCTTGAAGCGAAAAGGAAACTAAAATAATTTCTATGCTTTACGGTAACTAAGCGAAATGTTGAGACGTGCGAGTAGAGGAAGCGAATTGAAAAAAAAGAAAAGAAATTGCGTTTGGTGTGAAGGTAAAAACCAAACAATTAAATTTAATTTAATTGCAAATTTACTTCACACAATTTTAAATTATTATCCAAGCAAATAAAAAAGAAAATAAAAATAATGCAAACTCAATCGAAATAATACATATAACTAAAATCTAAACTAAACGATATATATATATATATATGTATAGATATGTACTATATATAATGTTTATGTTTATATGTATGTGCTGTGCAACAGAAAACACTGCAGAACTGATGATTGGAAGACGTATTATACATACATACATAAATAAAAGCGAAATGAATTGTCAAATTTTAATTTTGTGTGTAGATGAGATAAATTTGCATTGTGCTGCCATGGCCATGGTGTTGGGCGCAATCATCTTGGCTAGATTTGTTGTATTGTATTTTTAATGAATTAATTTAAAGTTTCTATCTGCGTTTTTAGTGCTAAACATAGCTAGATTTCTATACACTTTTCCTTTTTTTATACATACAAACACTTACATGCATATGTTATTATAACAAAAAAGAATATACCTGTTTGTTTTTATATAATTTTTAAATTCCTGACATTATAAACACAAAAGTAACCAAGGTAAAAGCAAAATAAAAACGAAACCATGAAAATAATATATGTAAATGAGCTAATAACTAAACATTTATTACGCTTGCAGAAGTAGGAGTTACATAAATAAAACAATATAAAAAAATGATTAAATTTAAAAAATAAAACATAGAAATATATGATAAATTTAATGTGAAAAATGAATAAAACAAGTTGAATTAAAAATGAAAATAAAATTATACATACATAATTTAAATGAATTGAACAACAAAATGACGGTGGTATGTACGACGTATAGTATAGCGAAGTAGTAGGCGAGTTCGTAAAAGATTCAACAATGAAATGAAAACAAAATGATTATTAATATTCATAAATACATACATATGTAACTACATAGGCGAAGAACAAATTGAAGAAGAAAAAATAAAAATTAAATTAAACACTCCCATATATGCACACATACATACTACATATAAAAATACATGCATACAAAATGAAGTCAAAGTGCATGGCGCGAACTCGTCCAAATGTAGTTTATTGCGAAATCCGATACGCATGCCCTCCATATTCACTTTAGCCTAAATAAAGAATATATAATGCTGTAGCTTCACAATAACCCGTGTCGACTTGGAAGTTCTAGTTTAGACTAAGAACTTGTACTGAAATATCCACACCATACAATATTACAGGGGCTCTGTCTGAGTGCTTCTCCAGCAAACTCGGTCACTACCGTTAGAGAATTTTTGATTACCACATTAGATAACTAGTGTAATTCACTAACTAATTAATTGGTTACAAATTTTAGAGAACTAAGTACATTAGAACTCGATTGAAGATTGATTTGATAGGAAGGCTTGGCTGAAATCTTCAAAAATACATGTGTGTATACAAATTAGACAAACTCTGTTTTTATTATAGCCAAACAGCATTTGGAAATTCATATTAACATCCCATTAGAGAACTAAACACATCTTCTGGACGAAAAATATCGCTCTCACTCTTCGGCGATCGCTCGAGGAGCGGAACATTAAGCTTCTTACGCAAACAGTACGCACAGCAAACTCCCAGTCTCGCGCTGGGAAGAAAACGTCCCAGCTTTCTAGCGAGCAATTTCGTCGAAGCCATGGACCATCTGACTGGAGTTGCTGTCTGGCTTCGTCAAAAGATCGGATGGTTTTAAGGACATGTAGAAGTAGGTTTTCTAGAGAAATCTCATCATCTAGACTTCTGTGAACACCAAGTGAAAACGCAGATTTTCTACGATTGGCCTCTAAATAGCAATTGGTATCGTTCATATGTACATAATAAATCCAATTTCTTAAGTGTGAGAAGTGACATTACACGGTATGGTGCTAATCTCAGTACAACTTAACCGAAACTTCAACTTCTAGTCGGCGCAGTTTATCGTTATCCACGTTTTGCAAGCGCAAAAAAAAATATATATATAAAGGGTATTTGGCAAATTGGATTTCGCAAAAAAATTATCCTTACATTCTGGGAGACCCCTCTGTTCATCCATATGTGGCAAGAAAGACTCGTGAAAAGAGTAGAGTGTGCCTCGGCGAAAAATTATAATCATCTGGGGGGAAATAAATCAAAAAGAAGGTTGATGGACTTATTAAGAAAATGTGTTTTTTATAGAGCAAACCAAATGAATTCGGATAAGGACGTCCACTCATTTGCATTATTTTTTATTTTTTTACTTTTCATTTATACATATAAATATTAGATTTTTTTAATTATAAATAAAGAATTAAATACAAAACAAAGAGTAAATAAAGAGCTAGCATACAGACGAAAAAAAATACTGTATTGATCAACAAATTGTTGGATTGTATAATTGTTTCTGCTGTTTTTCTTTTTTGTGTTGAATCAAGCTTGCTCCGTTAATGTATTTTTCTCTAGATTTGTGACAAATGATTTGCTTCAAAAAAAAAAGACCACAAAGAGAAGGTCTGTAAAGCTTACTTTTCTGGTAAATTTTGTTTAACGCGTTCATCAAGAGTGTACCATAATTTTCTGGTGCCTGGCGAAGGCTTACATACATATCGCTACCTAAAGGTGCCAAGTCCATTTTTTTCAAAATTCAGTTTTTGATGCAGAATGGAAGGTAATACGATATTTCGTCTCTCCTGAACAATTTCAGAAAATGGACTTGGCACCTTTTCATCCTTAGGTGACGATAATGTAGATAAGTATAAACATACTATGTAAAAAACATACATAGCAGCTTTACCAGTTCTTTGCTGCTGCTGCCAAATGTAATGCAGAAATGTGAAATTACTCGCTTAGAAGAGAAGCACTTAATTTACAATCAATTAGTTTCATGAAGCTCCTCAGCCCGTCAGCAAGCACCGCAAAAAGTTCAGGAATCTGCTTCCAAATTGTTCAAATGTTTAATTGATAAATTAGTTTTGGAGAGTGTGTGGTGCACTATAGGCGCAGTAGAGATGCGTTTGCTTTGCTTGATGAATTTTAAAATGTAATTTGAGAAATTTGAAAACATTAATAACAGAAAAAATGTATTTTAATTTTAAATTTCTTTCTACTGCATTTTGTGCCTATGTATGTGTACTCTGATGTTCATACGTCCCCTCTCTCAGCGCACTCTTCACCATCATCAAAAAAATTACCCAAAACTGTTGCCAACCAAAAAACATGTGAATTGTTGTCGAAAAAGTCTCCCCAGCCAGGCGAAGGAGCAAAATAGTACGTTGTTCGCACGAAGCTATTTTACATACAACTTTTAGTTGAAAGCAACAAACGACTGGTGTGAACAGCCTATTAACTAATCGCTTCCAATGAAGTTGGGGCCAAATTTTGATTCAACGAATCGCCTCTAAAATTGCCTGGAAAATCGCCTCATGCGAACACCGTATAAGTATTTGCAAATTGCGCTTTGGCGTTGTAAAAGTGTGTATAATTTTAAATTTATTGGAATCGGCATATATAACACGATACTACTTTATTGCTATAAATATTGCAAAGTAAAATAAATATTACTACAAATGCTAAGTAAATTTTTAATTCCAGTATGAAAAGTCTTTAGTTTAGTAAAAACAACAAAAAAAAACAAAATTACGGTATTAAGAAATATGAGTTGAGTATATAAAAAATTAGTAGTCTTTTTATT